AGGGAGCCCCTGTCTCAAAAAGGCCAGCAAAAAAAAAATTGGGAGCTAGACACACACACACACTATAGTATCAGGGATTGAACCTAGGCCAAGCATTCTATCACTAAGCTACAACTTCAGTTCTTTCACTTTTTATTTCTAGAGTCTCACTAAGTTACCTTGTTTAGACTTGAACTCACTCCATAACCCAGATAGACCTTGAACTTGCAATCCTCCTGTCTCAGCTTTCTGAGTAGCTAGAATTTCTTGTTAAAGACACTCCACCCCTGACGTTCTCAGGTACAGCTAGAGAACCTTAGAGAATACTCAGGCTAAGCGCCTGCAGGACAGCTCAGCACACACTGCTGTTGCGGAAGACCTGAGTTCTGTTCCCAGCACCAATGTCAAGCAGTTCACAATCACCTGTAACTCCAGTTCCAGGGGATCCTGTGCCCTCTTCTGGCCTCCAAGGGCAACTGCACTCATAGGCACACACTCCGCCACCACCCCCCTTCACACATGCACACACACACACACATACACATAATTAAAGATAAAATAAATCTTTTTCAAAAAGAAAGAATATACAGGATGGACTGGAGAGGCAGCTCAATTAGCAGAGTGCTTGCCTAGCATGTACAAGGTCCTGGTTTGATGCCAGCACTGGAGAAAGAGAGGAGAAAAATACTGAGAAGGAAGGGTTGTCAGAAACATCCAGTTGCCCGGTGGGTGAGGAGGTGGTAGGGGCTTACACCTTTAATCCCAGTACTCCAGAGGGAGAGGCAGGTGGACTTCTGTAAGATTGAGGCCAGCCTGGTCTATATAGTAAGTTCCAGGCCAGCTGGGGCTACAGGGAGATCCTGTCTCCAAAAACAAAAATCCAGTTAGTGACAGAACACAAAAGAGACACCTTCTTGAGAAGGTATCCTTGAGGCTCCAGGCCCTAGAATCCTCACCTGGGGGCATGGAGACCTGAGGCTTCCCACACCCCCTCCAGCACACGCACACCCAACTTCTCAGGGTCCTGATCTCTAGCCCCCACTCTCCCAATGACATGTTAGGTCAGATTGGAAGGGGGCCAAGGGGACCCTATAGGAAAAGGCAGGGGCCCTCTGACCCTATATGCTGGTCACCCCCCATGGGGTGACCCAGGTCCAGAGGTGCTGAGAGATCCCCAAAAGTGCTCCCAGGCCCCCTTGACAAATGGTAGAATGGCCTCTTCAAGACCAAGTCCTCCTACAGCCCCAACTTACTCCCTGGGATTCTGCAGTTCCCCTCGTATACAGTAAAAAGATACTCAGGGCCCCCGACAGGTCCACCCTGCATTCCTGTGGCCAGTTCTACCTAGCTACTGGCCTGGAGCCATACTAGTCCTCCACCTCTTGCCACCCTGATTTAGCAGCCCCAGCTCTGACCTCCACTGCCTCCACCTGGGTGAGGGGCAAGGCTGGCCCTGGCCACACGTTCTTGCCAAGAACAGGCGTAGGCCTGCTTCCCCAAGTCTCAACCAACTCCAGGATCCACTCCCAAGACCTCCCCGGCCTCACAACCCAGACTTAATATACAATCTTCACGGGAGCTCTAATTAGCCAAGAGGTTCTGACTGGCGGTCACCTCAAGAACCCTGGAGCCAACCAAATGATGCCGGGCTTCCTAACCCCAACCAGAGTCCCTTCCTACCTCCCCAGCTGGCCCAGCCTTCTGGTTACCAAGACTGCCCATCTCATCTCCAACAAATTCACTTCACAAGTTATAACTGGATGTCAGGCACTAAGCACTGAGCCAATCCAGGAGTTCAATCACCCTGGCACCCAGGGTTCAAGACCCTGGGCACCAACAGCCCCAGGAAAGGCTACTAACCACAGTTGATGGAGGCAGATTCTGAAAATGACAAGCAGAAAAATCACTCAGAGCTAATGGTTCTCACCCAACAGTCTACTGGTTCCCACGGGAGCTTGTTAAAATGAAGAATTAGGACCTGAGGATGCAGCTTGGTGGCAGAGCACAGAAACTGGCCTGGCATGTGCATGCACCTAGCATGTATACTTAGCTGCCTGAGACCCCAGGTTCCACACTTAGTACCACAAAAAATGCAAACAAAAAAATGAAGATTTTGTCTCAGTAGGACTGGGTTTGGAGTCTCTGAGAGTCTGTTTCTACCAAGGTTGCTGTTTTTTGTCTGGTTGGGGTTTTTCATCTTTGGGTTTTTTTTTTGCCTTTTTCCTTATAGCCCCAGCTGGCCTGGAACTCACTATGTAGACCAGGCTGGGTTCAAACTCAGAGATCCACCTGCCTCTGCCTCCCACGTGCTGGGACAGGCATGTGCCACCACACCCAGCTGTTTTTTAATTTCATGTGTATGAGTATTTTGCCAGCATGTAAGTGCACCACATGCATACAATGCCCAAAGAGGCCAGAAGAGGCCGTTGGATCCCCTGGAACTAGAGTTACAGGCAGCTGTGAGCTGCCATGTGTGTGCTGGGAACCAAACCCAGGTCCTCTACAAGAGTAACAAGTGCTCTTAACCACTAAGTCATCTCTCCAGTGCTATCTTTAATATTTTATTTATTATTTTTATTTTATGTGTATGAGTGAGTGCATTGCCTGCATGTAGGTAAGTGCACCTGTGTCGTGCAATGCTGCAGAAGTCAGAAGAGGGCTTCAGATTCCCCTGGAACTGGAGCTAAGGATGATTCGAAGCCGCTATGTGGGTGCTGGGAATCGAACCCAGATCCTCTGCAAGAGCAATCTGTGTTCTTAACCACTGAGCCTCCATCTCTCCAGCCCCCATCTTTTATTTTTTGAAGACAGGATCTCATTGTAGCCCAGGCTAGCTTTCAACTCTCTGTGTAACAGGCTTTTAACTGATCCTCCTGCCTCTACCTCCCAAGTGCTGGGATTATGGGCCTGCACTACACACTCCAAGGGACCTACCAAGTTTCTAAGTGATGAGGCAGCCACAGGACTGGGGAGTACATCTTGGGGACAGTGAGGTACAGATGTCAATCATTCTTCATCCACTCTAAGGAGGTAGAAAGCCCAGCTCTGTTCTTCACCACCAGTCCCCAGCACAGTGCTTTCTCCTTGATGGGCACTATATATGATTAGCAATGACTAATTCATTAACTCTGGCCAACTGCCCAGCATTAGATGGGCCTACAGGGAACCTTCAGACAGAGCCTGATCAGCACGAGAGCGATTTCTACAGAGCAGTTTGAAAGTGTCACAGGAAAGAGGGGTTAATTCTGCCCTGGAAGGTGAGGGTGCTGATCTTTCCAAAGAGGCCACTTTAGGCTACGTTTCAAAGGGTGGGACAGATTTACTCAGGCGGGCGGGAGCAACACAGGAGCAAAGGTAAAGAGACTGAGCAGGGAGAGGTTCCAGGAACTGCACCTGAACTCTGGGTGTTCGGGTGTATGAAGAAAAAGGCAAGGCAAACGAGATTAGGCTGAGGTTTGCACGTGGGCCAGGCTAGGAGGGCAGCTGTCCATTTGGTGGGGGGCAGTGGGAGGGTATACAGAAGGGTACCCTGGGGTCAAGGGCTCTCAGAGGCCCCTGGGAACTGCCTTGAATTCAAGCTGGACAGAACAAAGTAGTTCCTGGGGCAGGAAGGGCCAAATAGGAAAAGTACACTAAAAGCATCGGAGGGTTTCCCAAATGAGACTGCCTGAGGGGAGAGGGAACTGAGACCCCTTCCTGGGCTCTGCTAAACTTCACAGGTGGGTGCTCGATCCCAATCCCTGAGCCAGGCCTGGAGCAACAGAGGGGGGACCTTCCCCCACACAGTCCCCCATGCTCTCTCAGAAGTATCTGAGATGCTGATGGCTTGCCCCCCTACCCTGGCCTCAGCACACCCAGGGCACACTCTGGCCTGAGCACTGTTCTGAGCCAGGTCTGCACAGATGCTGGCCCACATGTGGCTCTACAGCTCCTCCCTATGTAACTGCAGAATTCATTTGGAAGAATTCACATCTGACCCTGAAGGTGTGTAGGAGAGCCTGGAAGGACTCTGGGAGGAGGAAGGGCTTGCTGAACTCCAGCCTCAGTCCTCTGCCTGTGAGGCCCTCATGGGTTTCCCCTGTAACATGCTGAACTCTCCAACCTTGGAGAGACCAAGTGAGCCAGGGGCTTCCCACCTGCTAGGCTCAGGAGAGGCAGGACCAGTCTAGGCCCTGCTTTAAATTCAGAGTACACACACACACACCCCTCCAAAGCCCCCAGAGAAGGGACACCCTGTGGGAGGGCAGCTGGGTGTTGCTGGGAGGATGAGCTCACTGAATGCAGGTCTTTAGACTAAAAATGGGACAAAAGTAGCAAACCCTGCTGTGGGCTCCATGACACCTTCCAGCAATAAGGCACCCAAGGGTTCTCCAAGAAATGTAAACTGGCTCCTACCCTCCCTCTCTCCCTGCTATGGGCCTGGCCCCAAGCCTGGGACAGGAATCGATTCCCTGTTTATTCAGCACAGACCCTGGGGGGTGGCAGCCAGAATTAATTAATGTTTGTAAAGTGCTCTAGCGAACCTGGGACCAGGGACCCAGGGGCGCCAGAGGAGCTGCACAGGAAATTGCCGAGAAGAGGCGGGGAGAAGGGGGGGCAGCTGGCCAGAACCTGGCCTTCTGGAAGGGAAGGGGTAGAGAAAACACTCCTATTGAGGGGAGCCCGCACACAAAGGAAGCAAGAAGCTGCAACCCCTCAAAAGCGGTTCAGGACGGGACAATCTCAGCCAAGCACATCAGGCTTCCCAGGCCCCAACTCAGGCCCCTGCCACCTGCCACCTGCACGGCCCCAGGCCCCCACCTGCAGAGAAAGTCCGGCACTCAAGGAGTGCGCCCAGGGGTGGCAGCTTCGCGGGCCCAGATGTCTCCTGCCCACTCCCCAGGGCGCCCGGCCAGCGGCCCCTCTCTCCAGGAGGCCGGGGCGTCCCAGCCCTCCATCGAGGGGCTCCAGGGTGGGCATCAGGACGCACGCAGCTGGCACCGCCGCCCCGAAGCCTCCCTCCCAACTCTCGACTCACTCACCCCAAAGTGCTGATGAAGCCATTGACGGAGCCCTCGGCGTACAGGGACACTATGTCCCCGATGTGAAGAAAACTGGACATTTCGTTCATGGCTTTGGCCCTCCGGGGGGCCCCTCCGAGGTGACGAGGACGCCTGTGGACAAGCGGCCAGGCTGGGGGCAGAGGACGGTGGCAGAGAGGGGCGCAGTGCCACCTCGGAGCCCGGCGATCGCGACGATCCGGGCGCCCGGGAGGCGGGTACTGGCGGGGAGGTGGGGGTACCTCGGGAGTGGGAGGAGGCGCGGCGCGGCCGGGGGTCACGAAGAAGACGTGCCCGCGTCTGTTCGCCCCGCCGCCCTCCCACCCAGCCCGGCCCTCGCGTACCTGCAGTGAGGAAGGAGCAGGAAGTCTCGGGCCGCCACACACATGCAAATCCCGCCCGGGAGGCGGGGACGCCACACCCCGGCCCGCCCCCGCCGCGGCTCCCACGTGCACCCGCCCGCCCTGCACGCCCGGGCTGGGCCTCCTCAACGCCACGCGCTCCTGCACCCCTAAAAGCGCCTTGCACGCCACCGAGGGGTTCCGCGATGCTCCAGCGCTCTCCCTAGACGGTAGTTCCCCGGGGACCCCGCTGCAATTCGGGGCTCTCCACCCTTGGAGTTCCCCGCTCCCCCATGGCCGGACCCCCGGGTGGCAGATCCCACGGAAAGGGGGAGTCCGGGGCCGCCGCACTCAGTCACCGCGCTGTGTCTGCGCCCAGCTGAGAGCCGTCTTGCGCCTGGACGCGCGCTGAGCCATTAGTGGCGGCACAAATCAGGATTCATTTTTTTCTGAACATGAAAAGCCTTTTCATTGCACAATAGAAAATACTGGGACTTTGAGGGGAAATGAAGCAATGGGGTGGGTTTTGTTTTTCTCCCTCCCTCCCTGCGTCCTTCCCTCCCTGTTTCTCTCTCTCTCTCTCTCTCTCTCTCTCTCTCTCTCTCCCTCCCTCTGCCCCAAGAGACCCCCCTCCTCTTCCTCCTCCCCTCCCTCCTCCCTCTCTCCCTCCTCTCTCTCCCCCTCCCTCTCTCTCCCTCTCTCTCCTCTCTCTCTCCATCCCTGTGTACAAAGAGATCCAACTTTCGAATCACAAGTTGGCTCCAAATCTCTTGGCACTGTCTTTCCTTTAAAAAAAACAAATTGTAAAATGAGAGGAGAAAATTACCTTTACTAGTTAATAGCGCACCCAAGCGCCCAAAGTGACAAGTCCCTCAGGCGGCCCTCTGGGAGTGACTAAGTACTCACTAAGTCCTGCCCTCAAACTCTCGTCCCAACTTTCTGTTCTGCTCCCCCGGGTGCTAGGTGTTTGTTTCCTTAGTGCATTTGAACTCCTGAGATACAGTACCCACCCCACCACCACCACCCACCCCCGCCACCTCCCATTCAGGTCACATTCACTCCCTTCTTACCCGAGCCCTGCACTTCCTGAGGGGCGGGAGAGGGGGTGTTTGTCCCGGGAAGAAAGAAAATGGGGCGGGGGGGACGGAGACAGAAGCAGGAAGAGAGACCCGGGGAGGGGTGGAGTCAGCGGGAACCGGGAGACAGCTGCGGACCTGGCTAGGGTAGAGTCTCTGGGTGTGTGTGGTTTTAACACAACTCTTAAGAGCTTGCGGGGCGGGGAGCTAGTCTGTAATATCCGCGCTAGGGAAGTAGAGGCAGGAAGATCAGAAGTTCGAGGCCAGCCTGGGACGCATGAGACTATCTCCAAAAAAAAGCAAAAGTGTACCAAGACTCCTAAATCTCGGGGAGGGTGCAAATACCTCCAGTATTTCTGCGACCCCTATTTCACCAGTGCCCACAGCAGCTTGAGTTATACATCTGACCAGTTCAACCTTCAATCTAGATACTTTGGAAACAATATCTTCACAAACAATACCCTGTGACCTGTGATTCTATTTTCTATCCAATTTCAGTTGTTTTTTTGTTTACTGTTTGTCCTAACTGCTAAATCACCTGTTTGTTTGGTTTTTTTTATCTTCCTGCCTCTACCTCCCCAAGTGCTGGGCTTCCAGGCATGCACCACCACAGCCAAAACAGTGCTGAGATTTGAACCCAGGACTTCATGCACTCTAGACAAGCACTCTACCCACTGAGCCATAACCCCAACCCTAAAAATATAGCAAATATGTTGTCAACTGTAGTTTGAAAACCCCAAAAAGAAAACGGCCAAAGCCAAGAGAAATAACAAACATCCAGATCACTTAGGCCATTTCCTGGCAACTGGAGTCAAACCAAGACCTGACTTAGCCTGTACCCATCACTGCCTGACACAGTCTAGGCTCCTGGGCTTTCCAACTGTGGCATCTTGGAAAGGACCAGCCCCTCCGGAAGTTCCACTTCCCTCCCCAGGAGTTCCAGAGGGAAAATACACACTCATTCTCTAAGCATCTGTTGAAGGCCTACTAAGTGCGGGGCCCCTGCTCCTCACCAGGCTTTGACCAAACCACCTTTGTTCCTTCACAGAACAATAAGGATTGAAAAGACAGAGGTTGAAAACCGGCTCTCTGGTGGCCACCCCAGACTTGTGTCTCCCCAACCCCATTCTTGCCTAGGGTCCCAGTCTTTCTTTTTTGAAGATTCAGAGATAGCTCTGTAACAGCCACAGTCTGGAGTCAGGCACTGGAAATCCCTCCTCCACTCTGGATGCTGAGCCTCTATGTCTTGAAGAGGACTCAGAGGTAGGGAGCACGGCTCCCAGCCCACTGAGAAGTCCCTGGAGGGAGATGCCACTGCCAGCCTCCTACCACAGCCACTGCTTCTAGGAGTTTTTCTGGAACACAAGACCATTCCTGTTTCCACAGGAGCCACCCCTGGGCTCTGGCCCCAGTCACCTACCAGGTCATCTCCACTGTGAGCTGGTTCATAGATCCTCGTTCTGAGATAGAGTTTATTTAAAGAAAAGTTCTGTCAGTTAAAAAAAAAAATGGGAAACAGATGGTAGGCTTGGAGTGCAGTGAGTGGCGGGCTATATGCTAAGCATCTGGGAGGTCCTAGGTCCAATCTCAGCCTAATTTTTTTTTCCCCTTTCAAGAAAGAAGCAGATGGTATGACTCCAGTGAGTCCATGGCCTTCCAGCCTGAAGCTCTCCAGTAGCTCCTCTCTACCCACAGAATAGGGTCTGCAGATGCCAGCCCAGCAGCCCAGACTCCCAACCTGCCTATCCCTCCCCTCCCCAACCCTGCACCCTCTATAGACACTAGGCTGCCCTTCAGGAGGAACCATGCTGTGGACCAATCAAGGAGTCCAGGGAAAGGTCTGGAGCAGTGGCTCAGTTGGTAGAGTGCTTGCTTAGCGTGCATTAAGCCCTGGGTTCTATCCCAGATACTGCATCAACCAAGTGCAGTGATACACACCTGAAATCCCAGCACACAGGAGGTGGAGGCAGAAGGATGGGAAGCTCCTCAGCTGCACAGCAAGCTCTAGGCCAGCCTCAGCTACATGCCAGCCTTGTCTCAAGAAAGAAGTGGAGAAAGAAAGAGATCAGGAAAATCATTATCATGGCATACTCTGGAGGTAAATCCAGGAAGATTGTGAGTTCCAGGCCAGCCTGGTCTGCAGAGTAAGACCCTGCCTCTAAAATACCAGTTTCTAAGGGGCTGGAAAGATGGCTCAGTGATTAAGAGCACTTGCTGCTCTTGCAGAGGACCCAGGTTCAGTTCCCAGCACCCACATGGTGGCTAACAACCATCTATAATCCCAGTTTCTGGGGATCTGACACCCTCTTTTGGCCTCTGCAGGCATTGTACATATGTGGCACACCTACATATGTGCAGGCAAAACACTCATACGAATAAAAAGAAATAAGCCGGGCATGGTGGCGCATGCCTTTAATCCCAACACTCAAGAGGCAGAGACAGGCAGATCTCTGTGAGTTCAAGGCCAGCCTGGTCTACATAGTGAGTTCCAGGACAGCTGTGGCTACAGGGAGACCCTGTCTCAAAAAGACCACAAATAAATAAATAAACAAACAAACAAATAAACAAACAAAAAATATTGCTGGGCATGGTGGCACACACCTTTAATTCCAGCACTCAGGAAACAGGAGGATCTCTGTGAGACTGAGGCCACTCACTGGCAGTCCACTTGCCTAGTGTGTGCACAGACTGCTCTTCCAGAGGACCTGGGTTCAATTCCCAGCATCCACATGGTCGCTAACAACATCTGTAACTCCAGTTCCAGGGGAATCCAATGTCCTCCTCTGATCTCCACAGGCATTGCATGACATGGGTACACATATACACATGCAGGCAATATATTCACACACATAAAAAAATAAAATATACTGGATGTCCCATACCTTCCCTTCAGTTTTGTCAAACACATGCATTTTGCAGAAATTAATTCCAATTTACACAATAACTAAACCTTAGGTTCAGTCATGGGAGCACATGCTTGTAATACCCACACTTGGGAGGCTGAGCAGGAGGACTGAGACTTCTAGACCAGCCTAGGCTACCTATAGAAACCCTGATGGAGCTAGTGAGATGGCTCAGAAGTTAAGAGCACTGGTTGCTTTTGCAGGGGACCTTAGTTCAGTTCCCAACACCTGTATGGTGACCAACAGCAGTTTGTAACTTCAGTTCCAGGGAATCTGACGCCATCTTCTGGCCTCTGCAGGGATTGCATGACAAAGGTACACTTACATACATGCAGGCAAAACACTCATACATGTAAAATAAAAATACACAAATCAAAAAAAAAAATTAAACCCTGAGGAAGAAGAGAGGAAGGAAGGGGGAGAAGGAGAGAGAAAAAGAGAACAAAAAAGAAGAGAAAAGCCAGGCATGGTGGGGGTGGCAGAAGCATTAGGAATTCAAGTTCATTCTCAGCTACATAGCCAGCCTGGACTCAAAAGATCAAAGAAAGGCCAGGTGTGGTGGCGCACGCCTTTAATCCCAGCACTTGGGAGGCAGAGACAGGCGGATCTCCGTGAGTTCGAGGCCAGCCTGGTATACATAGTGAGTTCCAGGCCAGCTGAGGCTAGACTTTGTCTCAAGACAAAAAAAAAATTTAGAGAGAGAGAGACTATCTCAGTTTAAGGGAAGCCTGTACTATATACCAAGATCTATACTAAGACTTTATATCAAAAGGAGGAAGGAAAGAAAATACAAAGTAAATTTACTGGCTCCTAAGCAAGGGACACTGTCAACTTCCCAGGAGTTTCCAGATTACTCTCCTGCTAGCCTCATGGTGGTATTCCTGTTGAGCAACATCCTCATCAGCACTTGATAGTGTCCCTCTTTTTTACCATCCACTCTTTATTCTTCCACTGTCAGAAACCATGTGGGTTGTAGTAATGTGCCTCCTCTCTGCTTCCCACCGTGGACTGTCAGGCCCTGGATGGGGGAGGCTGCAGGTCTCCCT